GTGGGAGACAGGTTGAGCTTTGAGGGGATATTATGAATTATAAAAACAGTAAGAGGGGACATGGCTTAGAGGATAGAGAACCAGTCCTGGAATCAGGAAGACCCAGATTCAAGTTCTGCCTCCAGTCACATACTGGCAGTGAGACTCTGGGCAATTTGCCTATTTCTTAATGCCGCAGGGAACTTTCTCAGAAAATACATTTCAGAGCAGATACAGATCTGCACTGGTAGGAATTTCCTCTCCCAGAATTCTCAAAACAGTGAAATCAAAGGTTCTGTCCAAAATGAAATTGTGGTAGTTTGTTGAACTTTAAGGTTTGCAAAGTGGGGAGTGGAAGGTTTGAAGAAATTATTTCATCTAACATAACAACTCTGCCAGGGTAGGAGCTATTGTTATCCTCATCTTACAGATGAGGAAAGTGAGAGCCAGGATCATTCAGCTAATTGGAGAGGGTAGTGTGCGCGCTCGCGTGTGTGTATGTGTGTGTGTGTGTGTGTGTGTGTGTGTGTGTGTGTTTTGTTTGCCCATGAAGGTCACATGTGTCCACATGGGTCTGTCTAGATGTAGCTTACAGGAAGGCATAAACAGGGACCCCTAGAGTCTCCTCCATTCATCCTTTTCCAAGACAGACTTTGATCCCTTCCAGAAAGGGAAACAGGAGGTTGGGGCCAGAGACTGACCACCCTGTCCTCCTCAGACAGTGAAGTGTCTGGCTAGAATTATATCTATCCCCTTAAATACTGTTGAGTCAAGTTTCAGTTGTGTCTGACTCTTCATGACTCCATTGGGGTTTTCTTGGCAAGGATACGGGAGTGGTTTACCATTTCCTTCTCCAGCTCATTTTACAGAGGAGGATCTGAGGCAAACAGGGTCAAGTGACTTGCCCAGGGTCTCACAGCTAGTATGTGTCTGGATTGGAACTCAGGAAGAGGAATCTTCCTGACTCTGGGACCGGCACTCTATCCGCTTCACCGCTTAATTGCCCTGTTGTTAGCCTAGAGGAATTAATTTTTAGGTTCAAGATGAGCTTTACTCCTTAATGGAGAAAGAGTTTCCCAAGCTATATATCTAAGGCTTGATTTCCTTCTTACAAAATGCCAGTTCCACAAAAAATACATGTAGTGAATAGCAAATGAACCCATTTAACTAAACATAACCAACAGAAATCAGAAAAAGTATACGTAGAAGAATATGTACCAGACAGTATACAGAGGAATGAACTCTCCCATTGGGAATGAGATATCCCAGTTTAACCAAGAAAGAGAGTTCCAGATCATCTTCAAGGGGAAATTCCCTAAAGTTGCTAGTAAAGAAAATTGTGGACAGGGACATAATCAAGGTGCTGGCTCCTCAACATTTTCACCTTTTCCCAAAGTCTTTATTTCCCTTCAGGGACCTCCAAAGGGTCTGGGTGTGTGTCTTCTCTTTTGAAGCTGGAAACTAGAAGACCAGGATCTCTCTTCTCCCAGGCACTGACCCATTCTACTTCTCACTCAGGTGTGGAACATCGAGTTATCAATCTCCACCAATGAGGAGAGTCTTATGCAAATGAGCTTTGAGCCTGGGTTCCCTAAGTAAGAATCTGAGGTAGGATTCAAATTGGTCTTCCTGACTTAAAGCTCAGCATGCTATAGGCTACAGGAGGGGACTGTGGTCTAGACAAATCACTTGTCCAAGAGCTAGAAATGTAGGGATTCAAACCCAGGTCCTCTGATTCCAAGTATTTTGCCCTTTTCACTATGCCACCCATACCGCTTCTCAAGATGGAGAAGAGTTTAGTGAGGCTGGGGGACATGGAAGGAAGGATTTGAGACTCCTATCCTTTCTTATAGAGCTGTGTGACCATGTCATATCACCTAATCTCAGTGACCTCAGATGGGCTCAGAGGTCCCTTCCAGCTCTAAATCTATGATCATAAAAAGATCCTATGACTAGATGATCTCAAAGTCCTTTCCAGCTCTGAATCCTATGACTAAGCTTCATTCTGAAGCTGTAGCAACCTCTATCCTGGAACACTGCTTTTGGGTGGGGGTTGGAGCTGACTTTACTGGCCAACCTGGAAAGTCTTTCCTGAAATCTAACTTCCTTCCCTTCAGCAATAGTTTCAGTCTTTTCCCTCTCAAAGGCTTCTCTCACCTCCAACCTAAGCAGGAGCCCTGCTGGGTTTTGGGTGAGACCAGGGAAGTAAGGTAGTGATACCCCTTGGAAATCAAGACCCCTGGGGAGCCAACAGCGCTAAAAGTTTAAGGCAGTGGTATCTCAAGGGTGTGGAAGACAACTCATTGGGCTGTGGGAAGAAAATACTAGAACTTAGGAGAGCAGCTCAGCTGTGCCATGAGCTTATAGGTCCTGCTGACTTTGGGAACTCTCCTTCCCCCTTTTTCCAAGGAGGGTGTAGTCAGATACCTGTATTCCTGAGTAAGCAGGCTGGTAGGAAGACAGTTTTTCCCCACCTGGAGGCAAGCCTAGTATAGTCTTTGCAAGAAAATCAGCCAGGGTCCTCCCCCCACCTACAAGCAGGTTCTGTCCATCTCTGTCCTCGCTTCCTAGCCCTGGCTATAGCAGTAGCTGTGGGTACCTCATATGTCTCTTAACCCAGGATCTGCACTACTCCAGGACCCTGGGGTCTTCAAAGGAAGATCCTGCTTCCTCAGTAATAGGCATACCTACAAAATGGCTAGCTAGATGGTTCAGTGGATAGAGTGCTGGGCCTGGAGTCAGGAAGACCTGTGTTCAAATCCAGCCTCAGACACCTACAAACTATGTGACCCTGAACAAATGACTTAATCTGTGTTTGCCTTAATCCACTGGAGAAGGAAATGGCAAACCATTCCATTATCTTTGCCAAGAAAACATTATGAACAATGTTGATGTGTTTATGGTTCATGGGTTCACATAAGAGTTGGATATAACTGAACAACAACAACAGAATGAGTAGCCAGGCAGCCAGGTTAGAGGTGGGGGAACGCTTTCAGAGGATGTTAGGCCCTTGATGCTCACCCTGGAACCTCTGCTCCTACCCAACCCCTAAGCACACACGCACGCGCATGTGCGTGCGTACACACACACACACACACACACACCTACTCATAAAGGAGGTTTTACACAAGGCCAGGAGAAAGTGCTTCCGGGAAGAGTCAGAGAGGAGCAGACACAGAAAGTACAGGATCAAGGAGCAGGCGGCCGCCGTGGACTCAGGGATCAAGCACCGGAGCACCAACCTTGGCTCTGCAGTTCTCCCATCAAGACCCTTCCTGAGACCACTGTACCCCATAACACAGCTTGGAAGCAAATGAAGAGGCCTACAAGGACATTTTTACCCTCTTCCTGCCCCTGCCCTTTTTTCCCCTACCAGGAATAGTTATAGGGACCTTATCACTAAAGACCATGTCCTTCCCTCAACCCATTAGGAAAAATGGAAATCTACTAACTGAATTTCATTATCAGCAGCAGCAGCAACAACAACAACCCTTTACATAATTGGTGGATTGGATTGAAAATGAGCACAGTGATTCAGTAAGCAGCACATGTTGCGCTTCTTCCACTGGCATCTGTGTATCATTGTGAAATATCTTTCCATCCATAACCAAGAGAAAAAACAGGTAGGTGATGCCTAGAAGGATAGCCTTCTAGACCTAAAATAAGGAAGATCTGAGCTCAAATCCTTTCTCAGACATTTAGTGACTACGTGACCTTGGGCAAGTCTCTTGAGCTCTCTAAACCTGTTTCTTCATCTGCAAAATGGTCCTACTAGCACTTACCTCATAGAGTTGTTAGAAGGATTCAGTGAGATGATGGAAAATGCTATCCACATCCAGAGGAAGAACTTTGGAGTCTGAATGCAGATGGAAGCGTACTATTTGCTCTCCTTTTCTTTTGTTGTTTTGTTTTGTTTCTTCTTTCTCATGGTTCCTCCCATTAGTTCTAATTCTTCTTTACATCATGACTAATATGAAAATGTTTAATATGAATGAATAAATATATGTCAGATTGCACACCATCCTGGGGAGGGAGGATCTTAGGGAAGTGAGTGTTGAAAACTAAAAATAAATTAATTTTTAAAAAAAGAAGGATTCAGTGAGATAAAACTACATATACGAAAACTTCACAAACCTTAAAGTGTTATATTTGTAGGTTATTATTATAAAGAAATAAATTGAATTTAGAACCAGACCTTGAAAACCCCTGTATTACCAAGAGGAAGAACTGTGTTTGGCCTTTCTTTATATATCACTACTTAGCATAGTACCTAGAACCAGAGGTGGGGAATCTGAGGCCTCAAGGCCACATGTGGCCCTCTAGGTCCTTAAGTGCAGCCTTGGATTCGGTCAAAGGACTGCACTTGAGGACCAAGAGGGCCATCAAGGCCAAAGATTCTCCACCCCTGACCTGGCACACAGCAGGTGCTTAATAAGTACTTTTTGACTGTTAAATAAAGATTAAAAAAAAAGTGAAGTTCAATCACATTACTTTTACTAAAAATATCATAATACATAAATAATTTTTTAAAAGTTGGTTATTTGTATTTATCTCATTCTTTAACAATTTCCGTTCTTTTTGAAGTTTTCATAATGTATAGAACCTGTTAGTAAGGTAGTATATACTTAACATGTATAAATAAGTATATATATATGAGGGTGTATTTAAATGTTTTTCCATGATAAGGTGGGTGATCAAAAAAAGCTGGAGACCAACTGTTTAAAGGTGCAACCATGCATTCAGCAACCATTTTAAGAGAAAAGAACTACATTTTCCATGAGGCACAGACCTAGGCTGAGACTACCACTCCCAGAATCCTTTGGGTCTGGGCAGGCTCAGAATTAACCCCTAAGTGTCCTTATCAAAACCACTCAGTGACATAGGTAATGTAAGTCTAAGGTGGCATTTGGCTCTGTTGCTTTAACTAAGTTAGAACTAGGTTAGATTGAATCAAACAGTCACTTCCTTGAATCAATCAAAGTCATTGTGTGGGAGATTGAGTTACGCCCTTTACTCACCTTTACACGACTCTTATCTGCTTTTGATAGATGAGAATCTGAGGCTTAGGAGAAGGAAAGTAACTCATGGTTCCAGAGCTGGGAAGACTTGATGGTATGGTGGAAAGCACTGAATTTGGAGGTGGCAGACATGGGCTGAAATCCTGGCTCTGACATTGGTCAGCTGTGTGCCCTTGAGCAAGTCACTTAACTTTCTGGGCTTATTTTCCCCTGTGTAGACCCACTTCCTGGTGAGCCAGCCCTAGAGCATTTGTACTCCTCTGCTTCAGCTGTGGGCTCACTTTCAAAGACCTGGGTTCAGTCCTGAAGGAGCCTGGGCTTTTTTCTCAGTCCTGGGGGAGCCTGGGCTTTTTTCTGAGAGGAGCCAGGCTCTTTTTTTTTTTTTGGTGAGACAATTGGGGTTAAGTGACTTGCCCAGAGTCACACAGCTAGTGAGTGTCAAGAGTCTGAGGCTGGATTTGAACTCAGATTCTCCTGGCTCCAAGGCCAGTGCTCCATCCACTGTGCCACCTAGCTGCCCCCAGGCTCTTTTTGTCATACTCTTTGGTTCTTTCCACCCCAAACTGAGAGCCTAAAGGGAAATCTCTTAAAACTTAGGTTTTGGCTCATATCTAGTGTCTCCCTAAAATATGAAATGAAAAGATAGTCAATAGACAATATAGACCAGATATAGGACAGCTATTTATTGCCTACACAAAAAAAAGCCAAAAAATACAGATGATTCCAAAGTACACATATATGGAAGCATAAATATGACAGAGTTAACCAGTAACTCCCACTATATTCTCTTGGTAGGCTGACACTTAAAACATAAAAATCTGAGTCATGTAGGACTGTCAAAGGGCATTTCACCTTCACCTTGGCTCTAAACTGTCCAAATAACTCACTCAAGGTCACGCCAGACCAAAGCCTGGGCTCATCTTTAGGCGAGCGTTTATCTTCTCTGAGTACCTTCTCCTCTGTAGTACAGCTTTAGGGAGAGCTTCCTACAGTCCAACTTGCACCCACAGAGGGACCTGGAGATTTGATCTTTAGGACCCCAGTAAGTTTTAGATCTGGGGGAATTCAAACATAGATTTCTTAATGATACCACTCTTTGCACTATAGTCTCAGAGGTGACCATTTCAGGATTCCTCTAGCTGGTCTTCAGAGTTACCTTGGTTTCCTTATCCAAAACTTAATGAATTTTCAACTGGGCCTCGTTACTCACTCCATCTCTTTCCCTCTCCCTTGGATCTCATATAGGGAAACCTTCAGCAGAGACACAGATGAGGGTGGAAGACCAGATCGCCTCTATGTCTGGTTCTGGCCAGCCTGAAGTCTGAGGGGTGGGGTAGGGTTCTGATACTGGTGAGTGTGAGAAATTAATAATGCAGAGGCTCATTAGGATTTCATTCTTGGGTTCTCTCAGGGATGGAGAATTAGCCATTCTTTCTGCCTTGGGGCCCTGCTACAGCCTGTTGGCACCAGCCCCTTCTGTAAGACCAAGGCATGGGGGTGTGTTAACTTTGACCTCCACTTGCCTTTGCTGGCCAAAGGGGTGGTGTGTTGGAACACAAAACCCAGCCTTCCACTGCCTAGAATGACACTCTGTCCTTTCTTTATCCTATTTCGCTCCCCTCAATTTGCTCCCTACCAGATCTGGTTCTGGAGCTGGGTAGGGGCCAGAAGCGTAAACATTGGGGATTAGGGGTATTGGACACTGACACCCCACTTTCTATAGCCTGATTTGGAAGGATGTTTAGATCCTTGAAAAGGACTTTGGGGAGGGGCTGGGGGTGAGTCATAACTTCACCCTCAATTTTGAATTCTTCCCTCCTCCCAGATGCATCCCACTCCTAGTCTGCAAGAGATTAAGATTGCAGGGGGAGACCAGAGGAGACGGGGTGCAGGGGTTGAAATGTGTAAGTTCTCTTCTGCCCCTAGCCTTTCCTATATCTGTGACTAAATTTGAGATGCCAAGGTCCTCTCTGTTGGGGTGATTCCTGCTTACCCAAGGGTGAGCCTTTTAATCTAGGCACCCAGTTCCCCATCACCCCCATTCCGTTATTCCCAGAGGGGGCAGTAGCTTGGCAAAATGCCTTGGGAAATGTGGGCAGAGAGAAGGAGACCTTGGGGCAGGAGATTGGGGCAGGAGGCCCAGAATGGGGGAGGCAGGGGTGGTAGAGGGCAGGCAGGGGAGGTAGAGGGCAGGCAGG